ACCACTGTGAATACCATGTGTGGGCTCACCTGTGTGGGCCTGCGTGGGGGAGGGGACAATGAGATATGAAACAAAATGTCAGCTCCCCGCAGAAGGTAATTCAGAGAAAAGATTAGAGGGAGCTCAGCAGGACAGAAAGGAAGATAGTGACCTTCTTTCTATTTCTAGGTGAGGGGAAGAGGGAGTGATACAATATACAAATGACTTCTTTGATGGTATCAACAAAATTTTATATTTTTTCCCCCACAAGGCATAAACCAATGCTAGGTACAGGTGCTTCATTCCAATACTACCAAACCATCTACAGATGTCAATTAAGGCTGAACCAATGTAGCTACATCAACAGAGAATATAATTATCTAGTAATTAAAGACCAGGAAATAACTAATCTAAATAACTGGACCCAAAAGGAATCTATTAACTCCTGGGTACACTGATAAAGTAAGATAAATAATTGTTAAGCTCCCGTTCCTCTTCTTCCTCCTCCCCCTCTAATGCTCTATTGTTATATAAATAGCAGAAGAACCACTATAGAAACAATAAACTGCCCACAAAATTACAGTCAGATAGTTGCCAATTACATATCTCTGGCAAAACCTACAACTTACAGATTCAACAAAATATTGCCAACTAAAATAACTCTCCAGCAGGCAAATAATTATTCTGCATTATAAAAGGGTACTGGAGATAGTTGGAACCATTTGAATTTTTAAGGGGCCTCCTGGTCTACATGAAAAAGAATTTGGGTGGATATTACAAAGCTGTCTCTGTGGCTGTGTGAACACGACTGAGTGACCTGTTGTACTTCATGAGGTCAAAACGCAGAGCTGCTCACTTTTCTGCCTTGTTAATGGGTAGCTCAAGGGAAAACAAGAAAATAGAGAGTATCTGATGGGACTGGGGAAGGGAGACACAAAAGCTGTATGCCTTATAGTAAATGTGACACATTAAATATACTACTTAATCCAGATGCATCTCCTCAGATCAAGGTCTAAGCTAGACTAGACGATGCAGGAAAAATGTTCTGAAAATGTTTTGTGTTTCCACAAAATGGAAAATATAAGAAGCCACCCTACTTTATAGTTCTAGGCTGGGAAAAATCAAATCCCTACCTTGGAGAGAATGGTCATATTAAAATGGAGAGCTCTTGAGCCCTCAAAAGGGTTCTTCCACTCCCTCATGGGCTAATAACTCACCTCCTCCTCCAGAAAGCCTTCTCTGATTATTGGTCATTCCACACCTCTGGGCACCTGGAGGTTCAAGGTGTATTCTACTCTACATTGCTTTGCAATTGCTCCCATGTGCTTAATCTGTCTACCTAGACTGTCAGCTTGTCAACAGCAAATAAATTTGATTGCATTGTACAATTGTTAGGCAGGAGCTCAGGAACACCAAGATGGTGAAGGGAGGGTATAAGAAGAATGTCTGTCGCTGGAGGACAAAACAAAGAGACAAGTTATGTCCCTGTTTCCGATAAGTCCCATTACCATGACAACTCCCACCACTGAGGACTTATCACCATGACAACTCCTGCCACAGGTTCAGAATTTTAAAATGACCAGTGAGGGTAAAGTGGGCAGTATTCAAATTAGGTTTTCTAAAGTAACCAATGGGGGGTATTTGGACAACACTCTAATTAGGTTTCATAAGGTAACCAATGGGGCAAGTGGGGTAAGGTCTTCAATCAGGTCTATATAGGGAAGAGGGCCTCACAACTCAGCAAGTAAGTCACTAATTTCCAGACACTGGGGCTCTGAGCCTCTCTCTTGCTCAGCCCAGTCTGCTCTACTTACCAGAATGTTACTTTCACCTTCACCTTCAATAAATCTGTACTTTGTCTTCAGTTGTGTATGTCTTGCTCAATTCTTTATTCGGGACACCAAGGACCTGGACTCCGACTGGACACCCTGATGATAACACAGTCATCCATTGCTGGCTGCCCCAACCCCTGCCCTAAAAGTTCCCAGCAGGGAGCTCTGCCCACAGGACTGGACCATGCAGAAGTCTGCAGTTAGCAATCTCCCAGAGGGGTCAGTCTACCCTGAAGACCCATTTCACTTTCTTTATATCACTGGACCATTTTAACACACATAACTTTCTCCATTGATGTGGGCAATGAAATCAAGTTTACTCAAGCACATTACTGCACATCAATCTATCATATTAACCAAGTTCACTAGCCAAAAGCAAAGTAAGGCAACTGTCCAGATAGCTCAGAGAAAGGAGAAACAAATATCTGGGTTTATCTGAATTGCTTAGAGGATAAAACAGGGCTTATAATGGCGACTTCTGGTTTGGGGACCACTACATAAAAGTGTTAATGCACAAATGTAGATTTGCCATTTTCTTATAGAAAAATATTCAAGGAAAGTCACTTCATCTTCAACATGATAATTTTTTTTTTACTACAAAATGGCAGTTACCTTTTATAGAGTGCTATTCCACATTATCTGATTCCAAGTTTCACATGAGCCCCATGAAGCAGGGCACACAGAATTATTCCCATTGCATACATGAAGGAACTGAAGCTCAGAAAAGCAAATTGAAATGCCCACAGGAAACAACCAGCATGGTGCCAATGCCAAGAGGAAGCCTCCATCTGCAAGCTTCGAGTGCAGCACCCTTTCCACCACCTTTCTTTGCACTTTTTTCCTCCGTACAGCTACCGAACTTTAGGACTCCTGGAAGATTTCTGAAGCTGTGCTCTATAAGTACCTAGAGGACAGGGACAACATCGATTTACCACATTTCACAGCACTTGGGTTCAGGGCAACTTTGCAGATTGGTCAATAAACTGTACGGTGTTGGTGTCAGAGCTCACGGTGTGGACAGAGTTAAGACTCTGCATTGTGGTGGACTCTTCTGACCCTTCTCTCTCTCTTATCTCGATGCATTTCCTTTCTGAAACTTAATTCCTACAATCAGCAGACAGAAAATAACAATGACCAAATCCCAAAGCCAGCCAAATGGACACACAGCAGGGAAATGCTTGGGAATGACTTCTCAAAGGCAGGAGCAGATCCTCTAAAGAGGTAAGGCAGCAACTCCATGCTCACAATGCTTTCCTTCATGGTCTACCGTCTGCCCTCGCTATCTCGCTCTTCTCTGAACATAATGTGATTTTTAGCAAAGAGCAGGCTTAGAGGAGAGAACAACATGGTCTTATATGCTTTGTCCTTCATAAACCAAAGCAAGGCACTGCATAAAGATGTGCCCTTGGAGTGGTTTTTGTCAATGTAAGTATAACTCCCTTTGCCTAATAAGGTACACTCTTATTACAAAAAAAGAAAAAGTCAATCAAACATTTGACTGAGAAATATTAAAATAAAATATTCAAATATCCTTAATGTTAATACTTCAGAGGTAACTTACCATACCTTACCATTATTCTGATTTTCATTTAGCAATGGAATTCCTCCATCTAACTCCAAACCTGACAAATAATTCATTAATAAAAAATAAAAGTGGATAAACTAAGCAACCTTTTAATGAAATCTGTCTCAAATCCTTCCTACACTTTATTTTTAGCATGGATAACTGTTCTCAATCTTTTTTACAGTAGGGTATACTTGAAGTGGATAGCATGGGGCCACAGGGCCTGGTAGGATGAGAGACACAGTTCTCTGGGTGGGTGTGGCCTTGACACTGTTCCAGCTTTCAACATAGAGCTTTGAATCCTGTCCTTGCCACTATTAGCATAAGGCACTAACTAAATTAACCAGCTTCTCACTGTTACATGATTCTAAAAGATCTGCTCCCCAGTAGATCTCTGTATATCACAAGGATAGATTTTAATTTAAGATGATAAAGATTACGTGTAACAGATAAATCTTTCAATGAAACACTACCTAGGCTCATTCAATCTCTAGGACTAGAATCCCACATATTTGAGCTCCTTCTCTTAAAAGTGAATATTCCACATATATGATCATCTAAAGCCAAAAAGGAAAAATAAACTTGGCCAATTAACTAAGCAGATTTCCACTCTTGCTCCTATCATGTGAATGCCCAAATAAACTTTAAAATAAACAAGGCTTCAGGTGTAGGTTAAGGGAAGTGACAAGTCCAAGGTTACAAAGTCATTGACAGGGCATCCATGACCGCCTAAGAAATACTGCAGTAACAGACTGCTGTTTGCATTTGCTGGTTAGGGCAGGATGTAGCGTCTGACTGATCCCAAGTGGAGGAGCTTTTAGTGTCCAAAACGATACTAAAAGAGGTAGCAGATACTACTCAAGACAGATCCAAACTATCTTAAATCGGGTGACACCAACTGGGTTTAAGGGAAGAGTTGAGTTTTAGAATCATCACTTGACCCAAAGCCTGGTCAGGATCTAGACCTGCCTGCCAATCACCAAAATGAAGTGGTGTAAAACGAAGTTTCCATACGTGCTTAAAGGAAAAACGCCATCAAGAGAACTGCTGATACTGAAGCTCTGCCACACACATCGTGCTACTGCAGCTTCTCAAAGAAATCCTAACAGCAACCCAGTGGGGCATCAGCTTCACCGAGCGGGATGCATTTCTGGAGCCCGGTTCTCAGCTCTCCTCCACCCCACCCGCACCGCATCCCAACCCACCGTCCACCGGAAAGTCCTGACTCGCTCTGCGGCACTTTTCCAGGTGCCCGGTCCCGGATCCGAGGGGCTGGGGGGCGAGGCCCGAAGAAGCGAGAGTCGGAGGTGAAGGGAGCGGACCGCGGGTCACGTCAGGGAACCCTCGCCCCAGAAGGGTGTGAGCCCTGACCCCCCGCAAAGGACCCCCGCCACCATCCTCCCGCGCGCCCTCCGCGGCTCGCCCGCAGGCTCGCGCGGTCCAGGCGTGTCCACCCCCGCGCCGTGCTTTGGTCTTTCCAGAAACCGGCGATCTGCCCGGGTCCCGAAAATGGGGACGGGTCGAGGGGCCGTGCACCCCCACCCCGGGTCTCGGCTCCGCTCCTTCCCGCCGCCTCGCCCCGGCCTCGCCCTCAGGACCCCGCCGCGCCCAGCCGCCGCGCTCACCTCGGCCCGCGCCCGAGCTGGTAGCGGTGGAGTTCCCGCAGCCCATCGCGCCGCTGGCCCGGGAAGCCGCGCTCAGGAGCTCGCGGCCGCGGGTCCTGGGGGCGGAGACCAGACGGAGGGCGGCGCGCCCCGAGCTGGAAGCTGGCAAGCGCGCGGGAGCTGGGGACGCGCGGGGGACGCGCGGGGGACGCCCCTCCTGCCGCCGGGGGGCGCGGGAGGGCCGGGCGGAAATCGCCGGGCACCCCCGCCCCGCCCCGCCTCGCCGGGGGACCCCGCCGGACCCACCCGTCACCCCGGCAACCGCGGCTCCAGCCAATCCGCAGCCTCCTGCGCGCTCCTCGGCCGCTCATTGGTGGTTGTTAAGAGGGGGCGGGAGTTTAAAGTGGGTTCGGGGGCAGAGGGCGTGGCCGGCGCGGGCGGGGCGGCGAGGCGGGGGGTGCCCACCTGCACACCCTCCACTTCCTCTTTGCCTGCTGTTTTATTTCCTCACTTCCCCTCCCTGCCCCAGGATGTGGGGGGCAGAGGAAGTTGCGGGGAGCACCTGTGTTGAGCCTCGTGGATGCCCAGTGGAGGTGATTGACTCAATGATGTTCAGAACTGAAGCCCCAAACAAGACTCTCTCCTGCTTTAACAGAAAGCTAATGCAGCTCTATTCCCCCATCCATCGTTGCCAAGAGGAGAACAAGTTCTTTCCCAGGTTGGTCACATGAACATACTCCACTTTAAAATAAATGTTTGTCACGACTTCAGTGACCAGCGCCCTGAGTTGATGACAGAAGTGTGTTGGGCAAGTACTGTTGGAGTCAGGCTGTCTAGGTTACAAGCCCTGCCCTGCCCGCTGATACCTGCAGAAGAGTAAACCTGTAAAGCACCCAACATAGTGCCTGACCTTTAATGCCAGCTGTTATCCTCAGTCTTAAATCTATTAAGAGTAAATGCAAATACCTTGGAGGTGAGGACTAGGATATTTCAGTGTTCTTCCGGCTTATAACGTAGACTCAATAAATGGCTTGTGAAGGGAATTCAAGCCAAGAATTAACGCTCCATTTTAAACTCAATATTTTAGAGAGCCTAGCCTGTGCCAAGTCCTTTGTTAAGTCCTGGGGATAGAAATGTATGGGAAACAGTCTCACCAGGAAGACAGGTTATGATGAGGACTTGGTTATCCTATCATTCAGGATACAGAGATAAGCCATCCTCTATTTGAAAATTAGGTATACATGGCCATGCACTGAGATGATGTTAATTCTTGGACAAAGGTGTTTTTTTTTTTCAGTTGACTTCTAGAAATATTGCTTCTTTACCTTGACCTCAGCTGTCTTGATTCAAAGATCACCCCAATACAAGTCCACAATTGGAGGGTCCCCAAAAGAAATACTCTTGCTTATTTCTATGCTGTCTGATAATAGACTTTGGCCCTCCTACACCTGTAAGAAAGAGGAAAACAAATTCTGTCATCCAGAAACTGACTTGACCTAACTAGACCTTTGCATTCTTCTATTGAATGTGGTTTCACAAAACATGATATCACACAAGGCCAATCTCTAATTGATGGAGTGAGATTAAAAAAAAAAACAAGACTCAGTAATGTTGTCTAAGCACTGACACAAAGAAAGTCACTATGCCAACCACAAGAACCCCCAACAACCCCCATCCTGGAAATATGAATGCTGTGCTACTTTACCTATGATTATTTGTTTGTTTTTACCAGTTTCAGTCTTTCTGCCTTGTAGATGAGACTTATTGAGATTATCCAAGGAATTTTCCTTGCTTCCTGATGATATCCAATACAGAAAAATCACCCTGTTTTCCTTAAATCCCAACCAAAAATCACCTAAAAGGAATTTAAATTCTATCAATTCTTTCCTAACATCCTCCTACTAAGATACTTCATGGATCCTCATGTTGTGTTTTGTTTTGTCTTGTTTTAACTGCAGTGAGCAGCAATAAACCCAATTTGACAACTACAAATGTGTTCCCTGTGTTCTCGGCTGGAGGGCATTGACCCCTGTCACTAACATGCTCCAAGGTTACAGAGTATGTATCTATGCATTGTTTCAACAAACACTATTCAGGAGCTCCTTTGTGCCAGCTACTTCTTTACATGCTTCTAGTACATGTGACCATGAACTAGAAGGAGAGGAAAAAATATAGTGGGAGGAGACATCAAAATAAAATAAAATAAGATAATTTCAGATTCTGTAAGTGCAATGGGAAAAAATGAAGCATGTCACTGGAAGGAGTAGGAGTAGGAGAGAAATATTGTGCTATTTTATATGGGGTAGCCAAGTAAGGGTATTTAACTGAGATATGATGGATGACAAAATATCAGACATGTGACAACTCAAGGAAAGAGCATTCCAGGCAAAGAGAATAGCTAGTGCAAGAGCCCTGAGGCAGGAACACGCTGGGTATGTTTTTTAAACAGGAAAAAGGCCAGGAGGGCTGGGCCAGAGCAGAGGTGGGGGTGGGGAGCCAAGAGGTAGGTCAGATCACTCCCGCTATGACTGGGCCTGGTAAGGAGTTAAAATGTATACAGAGGGCAGTGCAAGGTCATTTGATGAGTATGAAAAGTTCCCAATAAGATGCAAATATACAAAAAATAATGTGGTGGGGGGACTGGGGTTATGGATCAGTGGTAGAGCACTTGCCTAGCACATGTGAGGCACAAGGTTTGATCCTCAGTATCAAATAAAAATAACTAAATAAAAATAAAGGTACTGTGTCCATTTACAACTAAACATTTAAGAAAAATAATGTGAAGAGTAAATCTAGGGTCACCTTTTTCCTGTTTAGGGATTTATTTTTGTTTTGTCTTATTTTATGGATGAAGACTCATTGCATTCGGATATTTCTAAAAATAGTCAAAAGAAAATCATGAATGCATGCCCCACTTCCTGATGGGTCATTGTCAGCTTCTCTCTGTGACGGTGAAACCACACTACCTTGCTGTCTTGATCTGGTGTGAAGAAGAGACAGGAGGCGCATGATTGAAACGGATCTGATGGGAAAGACAAGGCGAGAGAGAGCAGAACTGGGAGCCAAGTAAGCCTACATCTTCCTTCCCGTAGAGGGCTCCCAACAAAATGTTTGGCAGCCTGGTTTTATTTTTATTTTTCCCTGTTGACATGCGACAAGATGGCTACAATACTCTACATCTAAAAAGGGGGCTTTTTACAGTAGATGGGGTAGAGAGAGAAGATGGGAGGGGAGGGGGGATAGTAGAGGATAGGAAAGGCAGCAGAATACAACAGTTACTAATAGGGCATTATGTAAAAATGTGGATGTGTAACCGATATGATTCTGCAATCTGTATTTGGGGTAAAATTGGGAGTTCATAACCCACTTGAATCTAATGTATGAAATATGATATGTCAAGAGCTTTGTAATGTTTTGAACAACCAATAAAAAAAATAAAAGGGGGCTTTTCTCCACTCTGTGCCTTTGAAAGCCAGGAGGGACCCAAGTACACTCCCCCCCACCTTTTCCACTGGCCAGGATGATCCCCATGACATACAGTCAGAAGGTCGATAGCAACCTAAGTGTGTCTCAGTGTCTATGTCATGCACTTCCCTCCCCTGTGGTCAGGACTTGTCTCACTCCATCACCAGAACAAGGATGAGTACAGGACAGTATTGTTGGAGAGAGAGCAGGAGAGCCCACGTGGGCATAACTTTTATTACAGGTATTATCATACTGTCCTACTTTGTTATTACTTATTGTTGTTGATCTCCTACTCTGCCTAAGTTATAAATGAAAGCTCCATCACAGGTATGTATGTACAGGGAAAAAAAAAAACAGCATAAAAAAGGGCTTGTGGTCTCAGGCATCCACTGGAGGTCTCAGAATGTACACCTGCAGATAAAGGGAGACAGCCGTCGTTGATTTTGAGTTTCAATAACATATTTGTCCTTTATTTTGTACATATCCGGCAGGAGACTTGGGTACAAACAACAAACACTGACTGGCTTCGTCAGCAGGAGGAGAACTCACTGTGAGGCTGTCGGGCCATCCACAGACCTGACAGAAGGCCGGGAGGCCAGGCAGGGGACGCAGTCCAGGAGCAAAAGAGGCTGGAGGAGAGGAACAATGCAGCCAGCCACCTGGTGCCTGTCCCTAGTGCCTTTGCTGTCTCCCATCACAGCTGCTGGCACAGACCCAACCCCATCTCCACTTAACCTTGTGCCACTCTCCCATGGGCTTCTCAAAATCCCAGGAGGGAAAGTACAAGGTCAAGTGCTCTGTGGGGTCAGGGAGAAGGAGAAGCTTTCCTCCTTTAATGGAGATGGGCCCAGGGTGGGGGACACTCTGCCTCCCATCGTGACTTAAATAGCAGGCGAGTCCCCAGAACTTGAAAGAGTATTTTCTGAGTGGCTGAAACACAGCGGGCAGTACAATATGGACAGCACGGACTCCAATGCTGTCATCTGAAAAAAAGCAAAGAGGCCAACAGGCCTGCAGAGGTCTGGTCACAGGCCTGGAGTAAGCCCAGGGCTTTTCATTGCTTGTCCACCCAGACTGCGTGGACCGAGAGCCAGGAAAGGGAGAGCAGATCTTGGAGGCTCCAAGTCAGCCCTCCCTTTCCCATTCCAGGCACTCCGTAGTAGCATGTAAATTTGATCAAAATACCTCCTCCCATTTTCCTTAGAATCTTCTATGGCTTCCCATTGCTCTTAAGATAAAGATAGTCCTTAATGGCACCTATGAGGTTTTGCCTGGTCCAACCTCTATCCACCTCTTCTACCTCCATCCTCCTTCCTGTGCCTTTTTTGGCTCCTTGAAAGCTTTGTGCCCTCCAACACTGGGCCTTTGCACAAGCTGTTCCCCTTCCCCAAATGCCCTTCCCTCTCCTCTGAGCCTGGTTTTGCTCAGGGTTGTTTCTCTAGCACCTCACCCAATGTTTGCACCAAAGCACAGTCTCTGGAATATTTGGGAGCCTCTATCCATGCCACCAGGCAGTTCATCTTCTAGAGAAGGAGACAGGCAAAATAATAATAACAAATACAAATAGATGCCCAAAAATCACAAGGTAGGGTATGTGCAATGAAGATGTTTAGCCATATATCAGGCTAAAATTAAAGACACAAACAGATTGGCTTATTTCACTCAACACAATAGTCTCCAGATTCATCCATTTAC